CTGTGTTGCAATTATTTGACAACCGTTATAACATGTTACAACTCTCCAGTCTGTACAGCGTTTTAGGCTGTGTTCCATTTGGTGAATTTTCACTCAAATTTGACGCTTCGAAAATAAATTATAATGTTCGAACATCCCTATGTTGTTTCTCTTCCGAGTTTTTAGAAGGTGTTTGTCAAAATTGATACCTGTTCCATCAGAAATAAGTCTGGTATAATAGCAGGTTTCTTTGAAAATTTTTCATCTGTCAAATTTAAGGGAAAATTCAGCAAATGGAACACAGCCTTAATACAGATTTTTACTTGGTACAAAGTCCGCCATGTTTCACGCACAGTCTGACGTTTGCTAATGGATTTTCTCATAGGAGTAAAGAGCTAAAAAGTCACCGTCAACGCCATTAGCCAAAATACATATGGGAAATACGTACACTCAAAGAATAAATCACATATCCAATGGAAAATATTCATTAGAATTTCACATAACGTTCATGTTTTATCATAATTGGGAATTGCACCACAAAATCACATGAACCCTATGTGTCAAATTAAATTTATGTGGTTTATCATATAGAACTCATGCGATCACATGAATGTTATTGTAAATTAAGATAAATATCATTGGTTTTGTTAATGGAAAAATATTTTGTGCATTCCCATTGGAAAATACATGAAAACTTTTTTCCGTGTAGTCATGCAGCGATTTTTTCTAGTGTACTCGGTGTACAGATAAATACAGACATATTTTTTGACACTCATACAAACTTTTGAAAAAAATATCTGGCATCCCTGATCTATTCCCTGCTCTATTTTCGTCAACACAACACGCTTAAAAAAATCCCATCAATTGGGTTCTTTGATTTTGAAAAATATATCGGTTTTCATGAATCTTCTGAAAGAGCTTCGTTTTCCGAGCACAGCGATATTTTTTTCGAACCCACACACTTTCATCTCGATTTTTAAATCAAGATTTAAAGCAAAATAATAGCTTCACTGTTTGACACTAAACTGACAAACTGACAACTCGCTCCCATACAAAGTGACACCGGGGGACACTAATAAGGTGATGTTTGCAAATGTAATCTAACTTATTTAAAATAGTTCCAGTTTACAAAAATTGATGAAATTTTGGGTATGGGTTCCATTTTTAATGCAGATTACGAATATGCATTTACCTCAATACCCTTAAAGAACCCAATTATGTTTTTTTTCCTGAAAATCCCAAATAATTATTTATTAGACTGAAAAAAATATATCCAAATGAATGTCGTTCCCCCTGGAAAAATGTTAAAGACGCAATTTACAAAAAAAAAATACAACATTCAACAAAGGCGAATTTTCGCTAAATTGTGAATGATTGCCGATAACACACAATTCAAGCGGAACAATGCATTAGGTCCTATGTAACATTGACAGATTCTCTTCGTTGACTTTCTCTTTGCATCTTCACGGCCATGTTAAGACCGAGGTTAAGACATTCTCAGCTATTTTCAGCACACAGATCGATAAAAGAAGCTATTATCTCAAGCTTCTAATTCGACAAACACGACAAGAAACGGTTCTGTACCCAAGTTATTAACGAAAGAGAAAGTCGATGAAGAGAATTTATTTTTTTTTTTTATCCTGGAACTGGTCTGCAGTCTCTTGCAAAGTGACGCTTCTCATCTTGTTTTCCGTGCTGAGCACCAATGCTACCGACGCCCACACCTGGACCCTACCTATCGACCCATCAACTCATGAACCGGGGAACAACTGGGATTGAACCCAGGTCTCCTGGGGTGAAAGGTAATCACGCTTACCACTACACGCTTCTCATCGCATCTTCTGCACATTTTAAATCTGTATAAGCCTTCGCAGTTTCTTGCCTAGTGATCGATGCCCATGTACCTAAAGCATCTCTCCAGTTGCTGGGTAATCCGTGAAGTAGCCACAAACAAACAGACATAACGTATTGAATATTTTTCTCTGTAAAACATATTCTCTAAAATACTAACGCCATCTGCTGAGTACACTGTCACGGGCATTTCGCTCAATATATGGTGGCACCAACCGGTTGAAACTAACGATTTTAAATTGGCTCACTACTTGACTAGCCTATTGGTCCCTAGCAATCGATTAACGTACCCCATTCTAGTCGAAATTCTAGTACTACACTATGTTTGTTTTGATTCGCTATGAGAGTTTAAAAGATAAAATGAGGGGTTCGTGGATTTTCCTATGTTTCAAGGGGTGCATCGATTAGCTTGGAACCGAAGATAGTACCAGAGCTGAGCCAAAAAGTTAAGCACGTTTCTTCTGGAACTTCTGGTCTTAGAGTTACCTCTATAGTATTAAAATCGTTTAACAATCACTTATGAACTCGCTCGTCGGTGCATTGGCGAAGTCACTCGCAAGCAGTTACAAATGCAAATGATGCCAGGATTGCTTTGATGTTTATCTTGTTGCCTAAATCATGTTTTTTTTTCTCCGCTGGTCTCTTGTTCCAGTGTTTCTAGGTTGTACGCAATGGTCACGTAGGCCTACGTGGTCTTATATTATAAATCTTATTTGTTAACTACAGCAGAAGCTGGTGTTTTGTGTAGAAATAGGAATTCGAGCGGGCTTCTCTCTATTTATACTCTTTAGTATGACGCGCTTGAAATGGCCCATACCTACTCACGAAGAGCTACTGATACCGATCAATAGCGGTGCGGCTTCTTCTTCCTCTATGGATGCTCATGTGGTCGGCAACTCGCTGCATGCAGGCAGCATGTCGTTGTGTACTGAAGAACACCACCACTCACCACGCGGTGATTGAATAAACACCGTTTGTTGAGACCGGATGGAATTCAACTTTGAAATCCGTGTTAGGGAAATCGGTTTTCGCAGACAATCTGTGATAATTTTAATTATCCTTATAGCAACAGTTGCACATTCGTGCAATTTTCAATAGCGACATTTTGAAAAATGATAAAGTTTTAATTTTAACAGATTCGTAGAAAAAATCCTATCGATTGGCGAATTAAGAATTAAAATCCATCATCTCTGGATCAAAATCAGACAACTTTCATGCCACGACCGGCTTTGGTTTTTTTTAAATTGCACCCCCAATGTTGCCTTAAAGTACATGGTATGTTAGATTGAAACATATCTAGATAGAGCTGGAATTAGTCGTAATCGCTTTTGTAAACAATGACTTCTCTCGACAATTTTTAGGAATCCAAGACATGCTCACGCAAACCCACGCAAACCAACATTACCGTCGGGTAGGGGAAGTCTTAGCCTACCTGGTGGTGATGTAAAATTTGTGTGGGCAAACCTTGACTTTCAAGACATCATCGAAAAAAGTCATTGTTTACAAAAGCTGTTACGCCCTAATTCCAGCTCTATCTTGATATGAGAACTGACATCCGATTGATGAACTCGACAAATGTCTAAAAAATACTCTTTTAAAAATTTATGGTGGTCCTGAAAAGGACCGCTTTGTCGTGATGGTTGAGTAATATAGATGGCCCACAGCAACTCACGAAGAGCTACTGAATCCGATCAATAGCGGTACGGGTACTTCCTCCTTCTATGGATGCTCATGTGGGCTGCAGCTCACTGTTTGCATGCAGCCTTTCGTTGTGTACTGTCGAACAATGTTCAACGCCACGCGTCGAAAGCACTGCTGCTGATGCCGACGACCGGACACTCCCACACACGGTGATTGGAACTGAATCCGATCCGATAGCTATCTGCTTGCCGGGCCCGGAGCTTATCGTTTACCGTGAGACCGGATGGAATTCAACTTTGAAATCTGTTAGCGAAATCGCTTTTCGCAGGCATTCGTGCAATTTCCAATAGTGACAATTTGAAAAATGATAAACTCTTGAAATTTAACAGATGCGTAGAAATATTTCTAATCGATTGGTGATAAAATTATTGAAATTGGTCCAGGGACAGCTGAGTTATAAACGTTGAAAATCTTTCATATTTTTGTTACATGTTCCATTTTCGGTTTTCACAAAATCACAGATGTAGTCCTACGTCAAAAACATTTACCGGTAAATGCGTGTTTGATGGAAAATATGCTAGTCTGCTATGTCTGTTTGTCTCGAACAGCTTAAGCTGTTAGTTGCATTTTGTCGAAAGTTGTATAGCCGCCATACGCCTTCTTTATCCGGATTGTAACATCTTCCAACCTCCAGATTCCTGTCCCCTGGTATAGAGCCCGCCCTCACGGTTGTCACGGCACCTACCGATTTCTTAATCAACTCTTTGTAGGTTGAGCTCTTGATCGACGGCTTTTTCTTCAACTGAAAGAGCATATCGCCTTTCATGGGTGGCCTGGTTTTGACCACCTTGTCCCCTAGTTTCTTCAACTTTGGATCTTCTCTCACCTTACCGTCGACAATCAGTGCTTTGCTGGGTTTCTTCTTCTACTTCTTCTCTGTTTTTTTTATCCTTTTTGTTCTAATTATAGTTCTAAAATTGTATTCTGTACGCACGCGTCATCGCTGGATAATATAATTAGGGGTTGTGCCCATAACAGGTTGTAGACTACCTCCGGTGTATGCAAATACTTAAAGATGTATACCTAAATTAAGTAAAGCCATCGATAATACTATAGCTACTTACTTCGGACTTAGGAGCAGCAATTTATTCAGAGGATCGTAAAATTCTTATCACCCCAGGGCCGGTCGGTGTCAAACAATTACAACTAGAACCGTTGGTTGGCTGCTTGCCCTCAGCCTCCTCGAAGCAAGTAATTCCCGATCTAATCCTCTCCAATCCCATCCCGCGCGCCTTCGCGCTCATTCATTATTTGAATATGTCATTCTGATCGAGTAAATAAAGAAGCAACGATCCTCTTGCACTTGTATGGGTGCGCGAGAACGATGGGAGTGCCTCTAATGAATGATTCTCGCGCCGGGCCAGGACAAACTCAGAGTCAATCCTACAGTGATCCATTGATAACGTCGTCGCACGACGGTGATGCGATCGCGACCGAATCAAGCTCTCTTGCTCCAGACCGGTTTCGTCGACCGATCAGTCGAGTTGCGGATCTAGTCAGAAGAGGACTTCATAAACGATAGTGCTCCCGCGTGCACACAAGCGTCGCCCTCTAATATAATCAAGTTTTGTGTTTTGCTTCGCTCCGATCAAGAGTCGGCGGCATCAATACCAGTTTTGTGAGCATTTATTGATACTATCTACACACAGTGAGTCGTCGTCGTCGGCCGGTCCACGAGTTCTGAGTCTGGGAAATTCCCATCATCCAGCTTCGGGCAGCTGCACAGTGTAGAGAGTTTTGGCTGAGTTTGGTAATCTTCGATTGGAGACGTTCGCAGCAGGAGTAGTTTTCTTCGAAATGGAGCGTTTGATTTTCGGTGTAGTCGTCGTTATAAGCCTGGCCATATTTGCCAGTGCGGCTCCTCAGCATTCGAATGGCCGTGTTGATCAGCAACAGCAACTGTCGGTTAGCAATGGTAAGTTTAAAAAATTGAACGCCAGAAGATAGGGCCAAAGGTACGCAAAAACGTGCTAAATCAGATCCTTCTTGGGACGGTAGCCTTGAACGGTCAGGTTTTTCCAGTTCTGGGACACCACGACTGATTCTTATTACCGGACCACGGATGTTCTAATTTTAGACGCCTTATCTATGTTAACTTTATTTTAAGGATTGACCTCCGGAAAAACACCCGCTTACAAAAACAACACACGTGAAAATCCACTCGGTGAAGGTGAACTGTTTGGCTATCCGGAAGATCCGTCCAATATCGAATCAAAGCAGAATGCTAGGGTGAGTAGTGACGAATACCTGTACGACCATCAATTACAATGCTTTCCAATGTGACAGAATCGAACGCCGGTGTTCATCCCGAACCGCTGTCAGAAAAACGAGATACTTTACCCGGGCGATCAGGAAACCGACTGGGTCTGTGACTGTAAACCAAGTAAGTAACCCATTAGCTTGCTTTCCACTTGACGGTGATATCGCAAAGTTAGCATTTACGTCAGAGGTATTGATTTTCCCATCTGTTGCATACTGAAAGTTCCGAGGCAATTGATGTTTTAATTTTACACCTGGTTGATCGTGACCAATTCAAACGTACATAATAATAGTCTTTCTACGTCATCGCGTTGCTAATGGTTACACTTTATGACATTAGCGGCACACTGCGATGTCCCTTGCCCTAAACGCTTGATGTTGAATTGTTTTGGCCGGTAAATAATTTGCGCTGCAGATTACTGCTAAATAATATGCAACCTGTTGCGTACTCTTCGTCGCTGATGTCGTTCCAGTTGTCTTATCAACTGTCGAAACAGTCGGGGATTTTTCTTCTCCGTTGATTATCATGCATTCAGTATAGTGTCGCTATTCGCATCACGGTCTCATGTAGGTAGGAAATCCATACAACTTGGGACTGTTATGCGAATAGCGGCAGTATTGCTCTATGTCTATATGCAAAATGCTAAGTAACCTTCGGTTTTGATTCGGCATCGCTGTGTAGCTTAATGTCGTGGAGAAAAGGTCCAGCAATGTGAATTTTTTGCCTCTTTCATTCTTCCGCTATGCTTATGCAGCGGAGGAGTTCGAACGTTTCAACACACACACATGGCCAATGAGAATAACTCAGAGCGAGGTCACTTCTACTCAGAGGTATGGAGCAATATCTAAACACTGCAGGAACTCAGCGCTGTGCATCTTGCAGTTTTTATAAATTTCTCATACAACTGAGTAGAAGTGACCTCGCTCTGAGTTATTCTCATTGCATGAGCATGAGCATGATTGAGCGCCCGACGATGCAACTCTGTTAATGCCAGATGAGTAGGAATATTTTGACGTAATACTTGATTTAATGAAAGCCGAGAACACATCTGGACTTCCGCGAGAAATCATTGGGATGTTGGATAAAAGCGTTGGGATTGCATCAGGATTAACGATATGCTGAATTGATGTCCTAACGATTCCATAGCGTGACCTCGCTCTGAGTTATTCTCATTGGTGAAAAAATCACATTTTATTATCTGGGTTAAAATCTCGAGGCATATTCTTAACACAGTACACGCACACCACCCAACGATATAAAACTGAACTAAACTGTCTATCATCGAGTTGGCCATGTCCATCTGAATCAATTTTGATACAGATTCCAACGATTGTACGTCATTTACCGGAACTTACTTTTTCCCGGAAAGTATGCCGAACATTTTTTCTCAGGATACAAATTCTAATTTTGTCCTCAAATCTTAAAATGACATATTGTCGCTTCTAGCGAAAATCGATCTCGTTCTATACGTTATACATAGTGTCGAAAATAGTGCGCTGTATAGCGCATCATTGTGCTATGTATAACGCTCGGTATAGCGTATATAGAACAAGAGTAAAATCGATTTTTGCTAGTGGGTTATTCCAGTATTCAACTGTAGCGGCAATAATTAAACGTAACATCAAAGTATTGTAAACATACACATGTTTATCAACCCTGTTCGGTGTTTCGTTCGTAAACGGGTTTCCCTCGGAATTTCCAATACAAACATTGTTTGATATTCTATGGGATATCCGTTTTGAACGGAATGGAGCTGTCAAATCCAACAGTTTTTTTACTCTCCCGGTACACAATAGGACAACATTTAAGAAAAGTATAACATGGCTATACTAAATTCTCCCGCAAATCGAGATTATAACCAAATTTGTTCAAATTTTGCACAGTTGTTGGGAACCTCAATACGCATTGAAAGAGCAGTGGGGAACAGGGAGTTGTAAAGTTGAACCACCCTAATGCACAAACTTGGAAAAATGGTCACGATAACAGCAAAACATAACAAAACGTTGAGGTACTTTATTTGAAAATTCATTAGGCATCCCCTTGGATCCTCCTATGAATTGTATATGTAACTATATCAAAGTGAAACTAGATCTTATAGGCTTGACCTTCAGAGGAGCCTGAATTTATAAAGAGACGACATCTTATCCATTTGACAGGTCTTCTGCTTTGATTGGAATGACTTTTCCTATGACTTTGACAGACAAACGAATGTTCTAATTTTGACATGTCGTCTCTTTAATAAATTCAGGCTTTTTAGTTTAACCGTTAGTAGTGGAATGAAAATTTCATTTATCGCGGTAACAAACATCGGTTGCTATGCAAATCGTCGATTACTTGATCGTGAACACTCCTCCCTAATCCTCGATTCCTAGAAACCGCTTCTGGGTCACGATCCCGGCTTTAACTAGTGGCTTGATGTTTGGAGTTAACATAGTTCACCATGACCGACCCATTATCGATTGCTTCGTGGACAAAATGGTATCGTATGTCCACGTGCTAGGTTCTCGGGATGTACTTGTGCTTGTGGTGACATCGATTTGTCCAACCCTTCACTAGCTTCAAATAGTTTAACAGCAGGATCACAGCTCGCCATATGAAACCTGTTTATCACGTCCTCGATGTAGCTTTGTTGGTCGAGGGACAACTCACCATGTTCTCGATCCCTGCTGATTTTAAGTCCTAAGTAGAACTTCTCTGGGTCTATATCCTTCATCTGAAACCGCGAGCACAGTAAAGTAAACACGTCTAGTTTGGTGGGTTGTCTAACAAGTTCTGAATTCGTATATTTCTCTTGTTCCTTTACATACTCAACTTCCCTTTGTGGGACTCATTCTCTTCAGAGCTCTCACTCTCCAAGTGAGGTTTAGACGAGTTCACTACAACTCCTCCTTCCTTAAGTTTGGAATACAAAATACTTTAATTGAATAAATACTTGTAAATTCAATAGCTTTTAATCCACTTAAAAAAACTCATAAATCGAAAACAGAAGGTTCTGTCAAATATTTGAATTGCTTATTCAAAAATTTACTAAATTTGAATTGATTTAAAACAATGTTCGATACTATTAATAATAGTGAAAATATTCTTTTCTTCGCTTCTTATGTTTTCTCTTAGATTTTCTAATCGATTCCACAGGTTGCGAAAATTGTGGTAGTTCAGTCGATTCATTCGATAGGGGTTCTTCCTCGATGTAGATAAACGAATCAGCAGCGAAACCATAAAATTCTGGTTCTGATTCCGCATCTTCCCCGAAGTATTCTTCATCCTGGTTTCGTTTTCTTTTGCTAGTTCTAATGTTACAATCGTTTTGTTGTGCTGGTGCTGGTTCAACTAAATTCTCTCCTTGGAAAACGTCACTTCTCTTCGTTTTCCGGCAAAAATGTATTGGTGCCTTTTTTTTTTTTTTTTTTTTTTTAATAATTCGTTTATTTTTCCAGGCTCATTTGCTGTAGCTTTGCGGAGCCGATATTCATTGTTTCGATAACAAAATTACTTAAAACTAACGTTAGTAAAGCGGGGGCCGATTACTCGCGGCTATCTCGAGGTTAGGGGTAACAAATTGTAACAAATGGATGGCAGGGTAGGGATTGTGAACACAAGGTTTGGAGAGCAATGTGCTCTTGATCTCGAACTAGGCGACACTCTGATGAAAAAGACAAACATGGGGGTACACCGATGGGTAGCTAACAACTTGGGAGAACACAAGATGACACTAACTTCTAAATCCTCAAATCTATCCGTTTTAAAAACACATAAATTAAATTCAAATAGTCAAGGTCTCGGCTCGCCAAGACATCTCTAACGGGTATCGCGGGTTGTTTTCCTCGGGCCCTGAGGGATGTGGATAACTCAGATCTGGCAATACGGTGTAAGGTACACGACCAAACAACATGCTCGATATCGTGATAACCACTGCCACACGCACATAAATTGCTGCCTGAGAGCCCAATTCGATAGAAGTGCGAGTCTAACGAGCAGTGATTGGACATAAGCCTTGAAATAACGCGTATAAAGTCGCGGCTCATGTCCAACCCTTTGAACCATGGTTTGTTCGACACCTGTGGGAGAATAGAATGTAACCATCTTCCCAATTCACCATCATTCCATTTTTGTTGCCAACTGATGAGGACTTGCTGGCGAGCAATGGAGAAAAATTCGTTGAAGGCGATTTGTCGCTCAAAAATATCGCCTTCCATAGCGCCCACCTTAGCCAATGAGTCCGCTTTCTCATTACCCGGAATTGAGCAATGAGATGGGACCCAAGCTAAGGTGATAGTATAGGAGCAGTTAGATAAAGCACTCAGTTTAGATCGTATTTCAGGCAGGAAATACGAGGAGTGCTTCATCGGCCTCATTGAACGAATAGCCTCCAATGAGCTAAGACTATCCGTAAAAATGAAATAATGGTCAGAAGGTAGTGAGGCAATTCGCTCTACTGCGTAAAATATAGCTGCGAGTTCCGCAACGTATACGGAGCATGGTTTCTGCAGTTTATAGGAGGCGCTATGAAATTGATTAAATACACCAAATCCAGTGGAAGCATTTATGGTTGACCCATCTGTGAAAAATCTTTTATCGTTACTTACATGGTGGTACTTGATTGCAAAAATTGAGGGAACAACCATCGACCGATGGTGATCTGGTATTCCATGGATTTCTTGCATCATGGTCAGATCAAAATTTACAGAGGAACTATAGAAGGCTTGGAAGCAATCACGATTGGAGATTAATGAAGAAGGACCAACCTCCAGCGTCATGTACTCATAGTACAAACTCATGAATCTTGTTTGAGGATTTTGGTCGAGCAGCTTCTCAAAGTGTTCTATTACCAAAGGATTCAATACTTCACAACGGATGAGGAACCGGAAAGACAGCTCAGCGAAACGATCTGTCAGTGGGAGAACACCCGCGAGTACTTCGAGGCTCATCGTATGCGTCGAGTGCATACAGCCAAGCGCGATTCGGAGGCAACGGTATTGAACTCGTTGCAGCTTCAAGATATGTGTTTTCGCCGCGGATTGAAAGCAGAAGCTACCGTACTCTAAAACCGAAAGGATGGTTGTTCGGTACAACCTGATCAGATCTTCCGGGTGTGCTCCCCACCAAGTTCCGGTAATTGTACG